TGGGTAAATCCTCACCTGCCATATGGGCATCAGTTCACATCCCAGCTGTTCCACTTCTCCTCTAGCTCCTCACTTATGGCCTGGGAAAGCATTAAAGGATGCCGCAAAACCATGGGACCCTGCATTTGCATGGGAGACCTGGGAGCAGCTCCTGGCTTCAAATTGGTTCAATTGTGGCCATTTGGGAGAGTGAACCAGCAGATGAAAGACCTTTCTGTTTTACCTTCTCTCCTTAAATTTGATCTGACTTTTCAATAAAAATAAATAAATCTTTAAGAAACCAAAAAAGAGAGAGAGAGAGAGAGAGAGAGAAGAAAGAAAAAGGAAGAGAAAGAGAAAAGAAAGAAAACAAACCAGGACAACCTGCTTGGCCCATAGAAAGTCCTTGGTACCCAGCCATGATGATTCACCTACGAGAGAGTTAAGACAAGTAATGTTCTGACACGTGACACTGGCAATCTGATGACTTGAAAAGGCCCCGGTATGGGGTTCAGAGTAAGGAGTGGGGGGAAAACCCTTCCACCTCAAGGGAAAGAAACAGCTGACAGGAACCAGAGTTCAAAAGGGGACCCTGGAGCAGCCTATGGGTCCCCTGGGGTAAGTTCACCTTGACCTACAAGACTGAAAAGAGGTGTGTCTTCCTTTCCAGATAAGGATCAGAAGAACAAAGCAGGCTATTAATTAAGTCTTACCTATTTTTAAGTTTATGAGTCGTTGTACCCCCATTTCAGGATAAGCTTACAATAAAAGTTCAAAAGGTAAATACTGAGAGGAGGTAGGGGCCCGCCTTGCCTCCTTCTTGGCCAGCTTTACAGCCTTTAGGCCCAAAGGTGGGAGGTCTTCCCCCGTACCAACGTCCCTCTGCCTGGCATTTCTAGATGTTAAACCCCAGGGACCAGAGGTACCCAGAGAGGCAGGGACCTGACCCACCCCTCCTGGCCCTGGTGTCTCCTGGCCCTGGCCCTGGCCCTCAGGGAGCAACTTGAACCCAAAAACCTGGCCAGATCTCCAGCTTTACAGGAGGGAGAATAGCCTTGGCAAGTTGTTGCTTCCCCAAGAGGATGTGAGTCACAAGGAAGAAGGCAGCCAGGGAGGGGTGGGGATGGGGCGACGACAGAAAAAGCAGATGCCTTTCTAAGCAGGTGGCCTTGGGCAGGTCGCTTCTCTTCTTTTTCAAACATTATAACTTATTTATTGGAAAGACAGTTAAGACAGAGATGAACCTCCCATCTTTTTGTTCACTCCCCCAGATACCCACGACAGCCAGGGCTGGGCCAGGATAAAGGTGGCAAGTAGGAAGTCAACCCAGGTCTGCCTCATAGGGGACAATTCCTTGAGCCGTCACTGTTGTCACCCTGGGAAGCATCCACAAGAAGCTAGAATTCTAGGAGAGCAGAGCCAGGGCTGGAACCCAGGCTGCAGGCTGTGGGATACAAGTGCCCCAAGCAGTATGCCATGTCGTTTCCCTTCTACCCCTAGGTTTGTTTACTGGTGAAGGAGGCATCGCCTGCGGGTGGGGAAGAGGACATGCCTGACAGGCTGCTCTAAACTTCCTGGACACATTCGCTGTTTTTATCATCATCTCCCGGCTTCTTTTCCTTGTGTTAAGAACACAGTTGACTGGAGTCAGGAACATAGGGACAGCCTTGGTCCAAAAGTTTGCTGAGTCACGTCCCTTTACCGAAGCTGAGTTTTTTACACCATGAGAATGAAGAGGCTTAGAGATAATGCAAGACAAGGACTTAGGGGCAGGTGTTTGGCACAATGGTTAAAGACCCCAGTGAGGATGTCCTTATCTCATTCCAGAGTCTTGAGGCTCAGATCCCAGTTTGGCTCCTGGTTCCCACTTCCTGCTCACGTGCACCCTCAGATGGTACAGGTAGTTGTCCCTCCCATGCATGTGGGAGACCCAGGTTGAATTCCCAGCTTTTGGCCAGGCCCAGTCCTAGCTGCTGCAGGCATCTGCAGAATGAACCAGTGGAAGAGAGCTTCTCAAAAACAAACAAACAAAAAAACAGGTAAATGTTTTTGTTGCCGTTAAAGGGCGGGTTGTGATGGTGCATGTTAAACTGCTCTATGTGATGACAGTATCCTCATGTTGAAGTGCCAGTTAAAGTCCTGGCTATTCCACTTCTGATCCAGCTCGTATTAATGTGTGCCTGGAAAGATAGCAAATGACAACCCAATTACACCAGCCCCTGTCACCCACATTGGAGATCCAGATGGAGTTTCTGGCTCCTGGGTCTGGCCTGGCGCAGCCCTGACTACTGTGGGCATTTGGGAGCCATGATCTGCAGTGCTGCCCGGTCTGGCTTGTACTGAAGGCACACACTTGCTGAGCTCAACATTAGCAGATCATCTGATCAGACTCACATAGGATCAGATATGGCAAGATCCCAGTGGTGGCACATCTTTCCACTAGGGATATTCTGCTTTATGACCTGAGCCCATGTTCTAGAACACTCTGTGGTGGAAGTGCTTTCTTGGCCACCCTTTGTTGCTGTGTTTAATTCTACACCAGGGTTTCTGCTCCGGGCCTGGTTGATCTAAGGAAGGCAGCTCTCTAGCTGTCCCACCTGCCAGGATCTGCAGTGGAGTCAGGCTCTGTGCTCCTTCCTCTACCCAGCACACCCAAACACAGAACCACTGGATTCCCAAAGGAGCCACGTGGCCCCTGACCACTGAGCCTCTGCACAGTGCTGTTCCCACAAGTGGAGACAGTTCTCCTGCCCAGCAGGCACTACTTGTCTTTCAGGTCCCCTTCCTCCTCACTCACACCTCATGGCAGCTTCCAGGCTCTAGTCCGTTCTCTGATGGGTTCCCCCTCCTAGAATTCAAGCTCCTTAAGGACAGAGACCTGAGCCTGGAGCCTCATAGGAGCTCAGTAAACCATAGAGGAATGCTCACAGAAAGGAACCGATGACTCACTCTCAATTAACCCCAGGGGTATGGGGGATGGGCAGACTTGATTCCATATATTGATGTTTTCAATTACTAAGAAAGAGTGTGAGAGCAAGCTTCCATCTGTTGGTTCACTCCCCATGTGCCTGCAATGGTCCCCAGCTGGAGCTGAGAGCTCAATCCGGATCTCCCATGTGACTGGCAGAACCCAGCTACTTCAGCCCTCACTTCTGCCTCCCAGGGTGCACTTGAGCAGGAAGCCACAGACAGGCATCAAGCCCAGAACCTGTGAGGCAGGATATAGGCATTTTGGCAGTTGCATTAACAGGAGTTCTAACTGCTAGGCCAAACACCTGCCTTTGGGGAGGTATTGATGAAACTACAGCAGGCCACAGTGAAAAGTCCCCCTTACCAAGGCACATCTTGGTTCTTGAAGTCACTTAACTCTTCCTTCAAGTAACTTACTAGGAACCCCTGGAACACAAGCCCCGTTCAAGAGAAGACCTTCCCATTTTGGCATCCCAAGAAGGCAGAGGGCCAGACTTCAGGCTTCTCTGCCCAAAGCACTGTCTCTTCTGAAGAGTGCTTTGGCAGGACCTGCCAGCCCTTCATGATAGCGGCTGTGTCTGTGACTTCAAGAGGCCACACAGCAGGATCAGAGGCATCTTTGTCACCTCATCTTCTCCCCTGTCCCGGTGGTACCCTCAGGCCTTCTCCGCCAGGTGACAGAGATGCCCACAGGAGCGCTCTCTTTTGGCAAACTGCCCACTACATCCTTTGTATCCCCAAAACGGTGTGGCTGTGGACTCACTAGGCAGAACTAAGCTGGCATGGGGGCAGGCAGGGCTGCAGGCCTGCCTAGCGAGGCACAGAGCCAAGGGCTTAGTCTGAGAATTGGATTATTCAAGTGAGTCTGGAGCTCCCAGCCTTGCTAGCTGGGGATTACCCCAGCTGCTGGCTGGGGCCCACACACTCTTGCCTGGTCTGAGAATGAGAATCCTCCTCCTCCTGTTGCAGTAGAGGGGACAGGCATGTTCCACCTCCCTTCCCAGTTCCATCTCTCACCTCAGAAATGCACCTGCCTCCCACAGGTGTGCAGTGATTCAGCCAATGGCCCATGCCTGGCAGAACATCCTTTGGGTTGTTAGAGATGCAAAAGCCTGGACCCCATGCTATATGCAGAATCTGAATCCCTGCAGTGTTCAGAATCATCCAGGGGATCCCGACACCTAATGCAAAGCACTGGTGACTTGGGGGTCGTGGACCACCTGGCACACCTGCTCATGTGTACTCCAAGACCCACGCGTGCCATGATGGACTCTGTATTCCTGCAACCCTTCCACTAAAGGGATCAACTGCAGTGGCAACGAACTTGTTCCATATTGCTGCCTTGCACAAATCCGCTGTAGTCTATAAGTGACAGCCCCTTTATCAATGCCAAGGACACTCCCCCTGGGCACTAACTCCCTTCTTCCTTATCCCCACATGATGTATGAGAATGCTGAGGTTTAGGGATGCAACATGACTGGCCCAAGGCCATATGCCATGCTAGGGTCTTATGCACCCCTCCACCCTGCTTCCCAGGAGGCAAGGAGGGTGGCAGCTGTTTCCACACCTGTCTTGCAAATTGGGATTTCCTCTGGGGCCATATGCCTGTCCTCATTTCCTCAGGAGAGCCCTCCTCAATGTCCCCTTCATGTCGGTTGCAGGTTCCTATGTTTAGCAGCAGTGTCACTGTCTGCCATCACACACAGATGTGTCTACTTCATGTCCGTCTCCCTGACCAGCAGGAAAATTCCTACAAATAGGAAGTGCTCACCTCACAGCCACTGTCCTCTTCTTGGAGACCCCGATCACACCACGTGGGGCAGCTGTGTTCTTGGCTAAACCGTCATATTCTTCCATCTTCCTTTCAGCTCAAAGTAGCAGCTTCTGGCCTATGGGGTGAGAACGGAAGCCCCTGGGTATCAAACAGGTACTCCATGAGTGCAGGCAGCATGCTGGAGTGTCCAGATGCTCCTGGGCACACAGCTAGTGCTCAGGATATGGTTGCCCACCCTAACCAGGCCCAAGAAGCAGAGACCACCTGGGCTGTTGTTCTCTTGGAAATACTTTATTAGTTTTGAGGCGAGCTGGGACGGGCACAGAGCTGAGGAGGGCAACAAGAGGCTCTGCCCCGGGGCAGACATGCTGTGTGGGGTCTGCTGGCGGGCTCCCTGGCCCACCCAGCCAGCCACGGCTGGGCACATGGCACTTGGCGCCTGGCACGACTCTGCCGGCTTGGCACTGTGGCCTCCTCCTCGGCGGGCGCCTCCCTTTCCAGTTGCAGGAGTTGTGAGTCTTTCACAGTGCGGAGGGGTGGGGTTCCGGGGTGGGCACCTCCCCCGGGGTGCAGGCAGGCCCCATCCGCGAGTTCATCCTGGGCTCTTGGCGGCTACAGCGGGGTGCGGCGTGCTCTGGCTTCTCTCCTCCCCACCTGTGGGAGCTTGGCAGTCCTGGAGGGGCCCTGGCGGCCTCAGCGGGACATCATCCGGACAAACTCTGCATGGAAGACAGCAGCAGTCGGGGCCAGCCCAGGATCCTGCTTCTAGGCCCCTATCCCCAGTACCATCTGGTCCCTTTCAACCCTCTGCTCATCCACGTATGGGACTTCTGCTGAAGCCTGCACGGCTCCCTGCAGATCACATGGAGTTCTGCTGTGGCCCCAAGGCCCTACCTGACCTGATCCAAATAACCAATCAGCTGCATCCTTGATGTTCACTGTCTCTGTGCTCCCACCCCTCAACACACCCTTCTCGCTGCTCTTTCTCTCTTGCCCCGAACTCAGCTTCAGTTCCAGACTCACAGCAAAGCTGAATAGAAGGACAGAGGTTTCCCATATAGGTTTTCTCAACACATGTATGGCCTCCCCCACCAACATCCTGCGTCAGAGTGGTACATTTGCTACAACTGATAAAGCTATAGTGCTGTCACGCCAAGTCCCCAATATGGAGTTTACTCTTGGTACACAGTCTAAACAGGTGCACCCCAGCATCTACCTACCACATCAGTGCCCCAGGGAGTCCTGTGCTACCACCAATCATTCCTTCTTGATGGACAATGACAACCAGCACTTGGGTGCCAAGGGGAGGAGCAGGGGTGAACCTGAGTTGTTGTGAGAGCACCCCATACTCCCAGAAGCAGGTTCAATTTGAGGAACCATAAAAGAAGAGCTGGATGAAGAGGTCCCACTACCAGGTCTTGAAGGATGAACACAGTTCAGCCCAGAGGGGGCATTTAGCCTAGTGGCTAAGATGCCTGGGGCTCACAATGAAGTGCCTGAGTTCAATACCCATTCAGGCTTGATTCCAGCTTCCTGTTAATGTACACTCTGGGATGCAGTTTTGATGGTTCAAGTATGTGGATCCCTGCCATTCATGTGGGAGACCTGAACCGAGTTCACAGCTCCTGGCTTTGTTCCCAGCCAGGAAATACTGTGGATATTTGGGGAGTAGAGTAGTACATGAGAGCTCGTCTCTCTCACTTTCTAACACACTTTTTTTAAAAAAATGCTTCTTTAAAAAAAGAAAAGAATTTAGCCCAAGTGAAAAATACAATAAGTGAAAAATACAATACATGGTGTCATGGTGTGTAGGATAAACTACTGTCTGTGGGTCTGGCATTCCATATAGGTGTCGGTTCATGTCCTGCCTGCTCCACTTCACATCCAGCTCCCTGCATATGGCCTAGAAAGCATAATCTTTAGGACTCTGTGTCCATGTAAGAGACTCAGAAGAAGCTCCTGGCTTCTGATTGGCTCAGCTCTAGCTGTTGTAGACATTTGGGGAGTGAACCAGCAGAGGTTGGAAGATCTTGATCTCCCCTTCTTTCTATAAATCTGCCTTTCTGAGAAAAATAAAAATAAATCATTTTCAAAAAAAAATAAATAAATACAATGAAAAGCATGATGGCAAGTGTGGGCATCCTGCTCAGGGGCTAAGACACTTGTATTCCATACTGGAGTGTCTGGGTTTGATTCCTGGCTGTATCCCAGATTTGAGCTTCTTGTTACTGCAGGAAGGCAAAGAGACAGCCAGTGATGTCTCAAGTACTTGGATTCCTGGGGTTCATGTGAGAGTTCTGGACTGAGTTCCCAAGTGCCAGCTGTGGCCTGGCCTAGCTCCAGCAGTTGTAGGCATTTGGAAAGTGATAAGGTAGGTGAGAACGCTGCCTTTTTCTTTCTCCCTCCTTCTGCCACTCCTTTCATCAACCCCTCTGCTTTTCTCAAATAAATACCATAAGTTAAATATTTTTAAATAAAGCTTAACAGGTTCATGGATTGCAATTATCTAGGCAGAGAGGGAGTAATGGAACAGTAGAGGCTGTGGCTGTGAAGGTGAGCTGTGTCACATGTCAAGGACTTGTTGTTCAGGTTGAAGAATGAGGTTTCAGAAGATAGCTATCATGAGTGGATGTATGAGTGGGTAGACAGGTGGAAAGAGATGCATGGAGAAGACAGACACAGGGATGGGTGGATGTCTGCGTGCATGTGTGGATGGATGAAGATGAGGAAATGATTGAAAGGAAACATCGTAGATCAATGGAAGTATGCTACGGGTAGGAGTGCACATGGATGGACGTATTTACTTGCATGAATACAGCAACGCAGATGGATGTACACAGAGAAGTGTACACGGAGGCTTAAATGAATGATGGGGAATATCTAGAAGACAAGATACAGGCATAAACGGATACATTATCGTATGGATGATCGTCTATAGACAGTGGAATGGATTAAAAGGTATCTGGACAAATGAGACAGATATGGAAAATGGGTGGGTGGATGGATGGGTGAAGCATGGATGGACAGATTAACGAATATAGAGATGGAGGGTGGATTAGATGGGTACATGGATGGAGGGATCATGTTGGAGGGACTGAAGAACAAAAGGCTGGGTTGGGTTAATGACGGCATGAAAGTCATGGTTGGAGGGATCTGTAGATGGTCGTTACTGGATTGCTTCTCTTCCACCCTCAAGCCCCTCCTACCTTCAAAGTCCACTCGTCCATCCCCATTGAGATCCACATCTCGAATAATTTCTTCTATGTCTCGGTGTCCCACCTGATGACCCAGGAGCTTCCTCATGGCCTCTCGTAATTCACTGGTGCTTATTTCTCCATCACCATTAGTGTCAAACTAGAGTGGGCAGGAAGGAAGCAGGGTGGGAATTGGGAGACAATGAGGCGATGGACCCCATGGCAACAGCAAATCCCAAGGCTGAGCTCCTTCTCAGGAGTCACTGTGCCCCCAGCCCCAGAAGCCCTTCTCCTGCCCGAGTTGCCTCCCTGGGTTGGAACTTGGGGCGCATGTTTCTTCTCAAGAGGCCACCCTGGAGAGGAGCGTCTGATAGTCTTCTCGCTCCTGCCCACCACTGGCCACCCCTCACCTCTCGGAAAGCGTCTCGAAGCTCCTTTACTCCAATCATGTCTGCTGTCTCTGCCAGAAGTTTAGGGCCCATTAATTCCACAAAGTCATCAAAATCCACATGGCCACCCACTGGAAGAGCAAAGGGTTAGATCATCCTCAGTACACCCATTCCCCATCTCCAACTAGGCAAGTGAGGGGAATGCCTGGCCACTGTGCTCTGCTGGCCACGAGGTCCAGGATATAACCAAGGGCCATATGAGGACAGAAACGTAGCCAAGGGCAGGTGGGTGATCAAAGAGTGGCTCAGGAGAGTAGTCAGTTTTTAGTAAGGGAATAAACTAAGGGATCAATAAGGGGAGATGGGATGCGAAGAAGGAACATGGATAGGCAAAGATCACTAAGATAGGAAGACAGAAACACCCTCAGAGAAAGGTGGGGAAGCACATGTTACCAGTGCCTGGTCTATATGTGCCAGTCCTTGTCCATCTTATGCCAGTAGAAGCTCACTCAGGAGGTGGGGGGGGCTGGATAACTGGTAGTCCACTGCTTACTCACAATGGCTGTTAAGCACCAAGTGCCAGAAGTTGGGGGTTGGTATGTTTGGACATAGTTTGAGGCTTCATGTGTTGGAATGCAATTCTCACTGTGAGGCATTAAGAAGGTGGAAATGTAATCCAACCCTGAGGTTTAGAGGTGGGGCCTCTGTGAGAAATGATTAGGACCCAGCTATCCCACTTCTGAGAATATATTGAAAGGAAGTGAAATGTGCATATGAGAAAGGAATCTGTCATCCTATATTTACAACAGCACAAACTACAATAGCAAAGACATAGAAACAACCCAAATGCCCACCGAAAGAGGAGTAGACAAAGAAGCTGTAGTACATCTATTCCAGGGTATATCTATTTCATCTTAGCCATTGTAAAGAATGAAATTCTACCATTTGCATCCAAATGGTCCCAACTAGAGACCATTATGCTCAGTGAAATAAGTCAATCCCAAAAAGACAAATATCATATGTTCTTTCAGATATAAGGCAACCTTCATGCAAAATATAAGATCAATAACCTTTTCAATAGCTTTTGCTACCTACATCTTATGGGTTTTAATATTTTTGCTTTTGTTTTCATTTCCTCAAAATATTTTTCTTATTAATTTCTTCAGTGACTCACAGGTCACACAGTAGCATCATTTGCTTCAAGGTTTTTTTTTTCTTTTTCATTTCTTCAGCGACACATTGATTACTCAGTAGTATGTTATTTAACTTCACGCTGTTGCAAATGTCCCATTTTTCTTCCTATTGTTGATTTTGTTTTATGGCTTTTCATTTAACAGGTATATAGTGACTATGTAAATGTGACTATCATATCCAGATGTGAAGATATGAAGATGCATCTCTACTTCCAAATCAAAGATGGACTCCCAATGAAATTGTCAAATATATCTTAACAATAGGATGATGGACTTTCCACAGCTGTCCATACCTACAATGTCAGGATACACTTAAAGAGAAGAATGATGGACTTAGGACTGTTAATGAAGGACTATGACCACTGTAATAATATGGGAAGAATTGGTGGAGGGGAGGGACTTGTGAAGGGGGGAAGGGGAATCCCAGAGCTTATGGAACTGTAGCATAAAAATTTTTTAAAAAGAACTGACTAGGAATAATACGGTCATGAGAGCGAGGCCCCTGATTGAATCCTGGTGGCTTTCTAAGCAAAGAGAGACCAGATACAGAGACCCATGGGAAGAAAATAATAAAAGACACCCATGACGGCCTGTCTCTTGCCATGTAGACGTATGTGCCACCCAGGCACAGGACTCCACCAGCAGAAAGCCGTCACTAGATGGGAGCCCTTGAGCCTCTAGAACTGTGGACCAAAACAAACCTCTTTTCTTTTTAAGCAGCCTGCCCAAAGATGTAGAGGTTGTGGTATAATTTAGAGGAGGGCACCTCCATACCAGCTTCTTTAGTTCCCCAGCAGGACTCTAGCTCCTGCAGTGCCAGCTGGCAGGAGAGATCCCTATTTGGACTTCTCTCCTTCCCAGTCTCGGGTCCTCACTTCCTGCCAATGCACTATCTCCACTTGCCTGACGGAAACTCAAGCTAAGACAGAGAAGACCTAAATAACAGCAATGTACATCCTCTTGTTGCTGGGAGGCCACTACCAGGCTGCTCCACACCTGTGCCTCACTGACTTTCTGGGTTCCACTCCCCATGGCAACCCTCACCACACAGACGAGCAAACCCAGAGAGGGTAAGCGGTTTGCACCAGGCCACAGGGTTTGGGAGGGGTGGGCACAGAACTGGAAGCCAGGCATGTCTGAGTGCCAAGGACTCTAGAGACCAGGGCCAGAAGGGCAGGGTAAGTACTGTAGAGAGACTCACAGTTCATGTTAATCTGCTGCGACAACTCAATGAGCTCCATCTCGGTGGGCATGTAGCCCATGGTGCGCATGCAGTTGCCCAGGTCCCGGCAGTTGATGTAGCCGTCCTTGTCCTTATCGAATTCTCGGAAGGCCTCTCGGAGCTCTGGGGCAGTGGACAAAGGTGCTGTGGTTAGGGTGAAGACCTGCACGGCTTCTCAAGCTTCCCTGCTCCAGGGGCCACCGGGACCTTGGCCATTCTGCCCACCAACCCCCTCTCATGCCTTCCTAGAAGGCTGAGCGGCCCTTTCTCCCAGGGACCAGATTTTACCTTCAATTTCCTCTGGTCGCAGTGACCTGTCCTGGAAACAAGAGAACATGTCCTGTTAGCAGCAGCAGAGGACCTGGAAGTCACAGAGTGCCCATCCTCTGGGGGCCACCCAAGGGATAGTAGGCACTGGGTGGAGGCAGGGGGAGGATGCAGAAGGGGTGATCTGGATCACGTCCTTGAGGGAGAAAAGGTGCAGGTCCCCATATCCCATCAACACAGAAACTCTGGAGTCACTGACAAGAGAATACCCCAAGGACCCAGCAGCCACACCCAGCCTGAGCACAAGAACAGTGGACTTCCAGGACCTCATTCCAGACCCAGTGGGCTGGGGAACACGGCTGACCTGGATACAAAGCCTGTAAATAAAACAGGGTCGGGGAGGTCAGGACAGAGAGAAGAGGGCAAAGAGGAGTGAGGTGGGCCAGAAAGCAGGTATTGAACATGTAGCGGCAGATGAAGGAAGCAGCTGGGAAGAGCCTGGAGATGCTGAGGCAGAACTTGCATTCAGGCCTGCTTCCTGGGCACCATCCAGTCTTCCCCAGTTTGATTCCCACCCCTACATACTCTCCAGTCAGTACAGGACCCTGGGGGCCACCATGCCTCGGCTGCTGCCAGGGTCCAGAGCATATATCTCCAGCTGCCCACAGGACCCAGGACTCCTTGGGGAGGCTAGGAAGCCTGGGTCTAGGCATCAGACAAGACACTGGTGGAATCTCTGGAGAGCAGGTCAGAGTCGGTGGGGTCACCATCACCCTAGGCCAGCTCAGAAGGAGGCAAACTGGCCCAGAATGGATTCAGTGCCCACATGAGCCAGTTTCATCAAGGGCTTCCACACTGGACACAGTGTTCCAGCCCTTGGCCTTTGGTCAGGGAGTGCTGGAAGCAGGTGTGCCCACCCTGAGGAAACTCAGGTGTAGGCACACTGTCAGGCTCACAGGCAGCGGGCATGCCCCAGGGAGCATGAGGCATCTTGGCTGCATATACTGTACACAGCCTGTCCCAGTCAAGAGCACCAGGGCAGGAAAACGGGCAACTGCCCACCCATTCTGTCCCAGGGCGAGGGACACCAGCACTGTAAATCTGGAGCGAGTCCGGAAGGGGAGGGGAACCACAGAACGATATCTCCTGGGACGACCTGGCGCACAGCAGCAGGAACTAAGAGGGGGCTACACCTGGTCAGACAGTACTGAGACTGTGTGTGACCTTGGAAAAAGCAGGCCATGAGCTCCTTGTTCCTGCAAGTGACCTTTCATGGGAGGAGCTCCTTGAACACTTTTCTGTGTGTGGACTTCGGCTCAGAAAGTTCACCAGGGGCAGGTGTTTGGTGCAGCCAGTAAGATGTCCCCACATCCTGTACTGAAGTGCCTGCCTGGATCCAAGCCCCGGCTCCTGATTCTGGCTTCCTGCTAATGGGCACCCAGGGAGGCAGTGGCCAATGGCTCAAGTGGTTGGATTTCTGTCAGCCACATGGGAGACCTAGCTGGAGTTCTTGGCTCAAGGCTTCAGCCCGGCCTAGGCCCGGTTGCTGTGGGCATTTGGGAAGTAGAGGACTGGTACCGTCTTTCTCTGTGTGTGTTAGTGTTGGCTTCTCAACAAGATAAAATGAATAAATGCGGGCCGCTGTGATGGTTTAATTGGTTAAATCACATGCTAGACCAACATTCCATTTGGATGCCGGTTCTTATCCTGGCTGCTCCACTTCCCATCCAGCTCCCTGCTTATGATTTAGAAAAGCAGTAGAGAATGGCCCAATGCCTTGGAATCCGGCACCAGCAGAGGAGACCCAGAAGTTTCTGGCTCCTGACTCTATCAGCTCAGCTCCGGCCATTGTAACAAGTAAAACAGTGGATAAAAGATCTTTCTCTCTGTTTGTCCTTGTCTCTGTAAATCTGCCTTTCCAATAGAAACAAATAAATATTCTTCTTTTTCATCTTCCTCTTCTTCTTTTTTAATATCAGAGCCTGACACAATAGCCTAGTGACTAAATCCTCACCTTACATGAACTGGCATACCATATGGGCACCAGTTCATGTCCCAGTTGCTCCACTTCCCATCCAGCTCCCTGCTTGTGGCCTGGGAAAGCAGTGTAAGACGGCCCAAGTCCTTGGGCCCTTACAGCTGTATGGGAGACCTCCTAGAAGCTCCTGGCTCCTGGTTTCTGGTTGGCTCAGCACAAGCCCTTGCAGCTACTTGGGGAGTGAACCAGCAAATGGAAGATAGTTCTCTTTGTATCTTCTTCTCTCTGTAAAATATGCCTTTCTGACAAAAATAATCTTAAAAATATAATAACAGAAAAAACAAGGAGACTCATGGCATGGAGGTCGGGGTCTATTTCCACTGCAGCATGGCAGCCTCCTGTGCTCCTAGATACCCTTAGGTGACCAAAAAGGACTTGGTTTGTCACATGTCTCTCTGCCAATAAGGGAAAGTGAGTAAGTGAATGAACACAGCAGTCCCTTGGTATTCATGGGGGGTGGGAGGTCAGTTCTGGGGCCCTGCAGTTAGCACATCCACGGATGTTCAAGTCCCACATGGGAAAAAAATGTAGTACTTGCAAAGAATCAGCGCACATCCTCCTACATACTTTAAATCACCTCTAGATTATTTATAATCCCTAACACAATGTAAATGCCATGCAAATAGTTGCACTGTGCTGTTTAGGGAATCATGGCAAGAAAAACATGTCTGTGTTCGGTATAGATGCAATACACTTTGCTTTCAAATATTTTGGATCTGCAGTTGGTTTTACCTGCAGATGGGGAATCTGGGGCTGGAGGACTGAGTGAACAAGAAGGCATTCATCTGCACCCAGTGCATGCATTAGGCCCAGCTACTGTTTTGCTATAATAAGCCCTCCCCCATCTGACAGGCTCCAAGTGCTTGCGCCTTCTTCAGCACCCCATCCTGCAGGCCTGCAAAGAACAGCACTGCACACGCGTACTGTGCTCCTCCCCACCATCCCCCAAACTCTTACTGGCATAGTCAGAGCCCAGCAAGCAGCCAGCAGCCTTTCCCAGTGTGCCTGCGGGCCAAGCTGGACTGCTGAGCCCTGGCTGGTCCCCAAATCACACCCTTCCTCCCACTGAGTAGCAGAACCATGCACGCTAGGCAGGGGAGGACAGCATGGATGGTCACCAATAGCACAGGGCAGCTGCGGATGCTGACTCAGGAGGTCTGGTGGCAATTTCCCCCAAATGATTTGGCTGGGGGAAACATTGGGGGCTTTACAGCAGAAGAGAGCCCAGATCTGCTTTCCAGTGGTGGGACATCAGGCAGATCACTTCTGTCTTCTAAGCTAAAGTTTCCTGATCCACAAAATGGGTTTAAATACCAGTACCCATCTTGCAAGGCCTCTGCTGTCACTCATGAAGCAGGGGATGCTAAGTGTTGACACCTACTATTTGATAAATGCAGATGTTCTTGTCTGCAGCACCATCCTTATCACACACCTCCCTGTGCTCCTTAAATTTGAAATAGAATGAGATAACATCACTAACCCCACTTCCGTAGTTGCACTAGCCACATTTCAAGTGACTGTTGGTCACATGTGCCTCATGTCCACCGTACAGGTGTTACAATATTTCCATCAGCATAGTAGGTTCTACAGTTTGGATCCTGTTCCTACCTGGTACTACCTGTTACCCGAACCTATGAGCCTTCCTTTGACTGCACTCCTTTCTGTAGAATGGGCATAATAAATACCTACCTCTTGGGCTTGCTCTGGAGCATCAAGGAGGCAACCCACCAGCACACTCAGCCCAGTGCCTGGCATGCAGTCAGGACTCAGTAAAAATGGACCTGTTGTTATTTCCTGCTGGCAGATGTGGACTTACCACAGTTTGCAGCCGTGAGTGGGAAAACTCAGAGACCAGACCTCCCCAGTTGGGGGTTTGACATGTATCTACTGGGGGGGGGGTGAGCTGCTGTGCACAGAACCCCTTTTTCTTCCCAGCACCTCCTCTTGCCTGGTGAAGCCAAGTCCAGCAGGCTCCACTGGGCCAACTTACGTACAGGCTGCCTGTTCTCGGCGAAGCCCTTGCGCAGGAAAATGCAGGCGGGGCCCAGCAGGTTGTGCATGACTGCACAATTCTGGGCCAGCATCAGGAGTGGTCCTGGGAGATCGTCACTGGTTGCCAGTCCCTCCTCGCTCGTCTGTACCACCATATAGCTGCTTGTCTCTTCCTGGCGCATCTTCAGCCAGCACCGAGCAAATACAAGAGAGAAGTAGGGAGTCACCTCTCTGGCTGATGGGCTCCTCTTTGACCTGGCTCCTGGGTCAAGGGGACTCTTCTTAAGAGAAATTCCTTGAGTTTCAATTGGTGAGGTTCAGAGAGGCCTTGAGATGCACAAGGACAGGTATCCAATTGGTCCAGCAGACGTGTTCTCCAATCCTTGACTGGGAGACCAGGGTGGAACATGTGCACACACACACACACACACACACAACCAGATGGGTCAGGGGAGGCAGGGAGTGGGGAGGTTTCCACTCTAACCAATGGAAAATGCTCAATCAGAGCCCCTTGAGATGTTGCCTTGTTCTAAAATGCTCCCAATATCTCCGCTCCATCCTTGGGGCTAAGTCCTGTTTCCCAGCTTCCCAAGGGTCTCTGATCCTCTCCTAAGTGGATCCTGGTTGGAAGACCATGCGTGAAATCAGAGCTAGCACTCCCTGGAGGTTGCAAAGGCAGGTGCCACGGCTGACACAGCCAAGCAAGCAGACTGGGGACCATGTGCCCTTCTGAAAGAGCAACACTGCTTAACTCCAGCACAGAGTGGTAGGATCTGCTGTGAAGCACAGTGGGGAAGAAGACACAGGTTGTGGTTGGGAGCCCCCCTCCCATTTGTAACCTCTCCAAGACTAGACACACTGTTTTCCCAGTTCTCCTGTTCTTCCCTCCTGCCCTCCCTGGCTCCCTGCCCGGCCTGGCCTGCTGGACCCCTCCAGAGGCTGAGGCAGGGGCCTCCTCCTGCTCACCGAATATAGCTGTGCTCCCAGGCCCGAGGCAACCTCTGCTTCTCCCTGCAGGTTCC